TTTTATTTTTTTTCTCTGCCACAGGTGCCACCTCATTATCTCCCAATTCAAAATATCGGAGTAAAATTTACCAGTAAGTATTGTCAAAAGTTTAATTAATTCACATTTTTATAAGAATCTTCTCTTCAGCCTCTTTCCTCCAGAGCACAAACTCTTTCCTTTCCCCTAAGGAAGTAATACATTCTTCCTATTATTTTCATTAAGAACAAAGAGATCTAGATAAAGAAGAAAAGGAGATTGATTAGGCAACAAATAGGTGTTGGTCACTATGCTACTCACCTTATATACCTCATTTAATTTTCCTAGGAACATTTTGAGATAGGAATTATTCTTATTTTTTAAGTAAGAAAACTAAGATTACTTCCTACAACTCTGTCTGGCTGTAAGACACATAATTTCTTGCTAATCCTATTCTGGGGCAAATTATACCTTAATGTGGGTTGGGAGAGGCCCCAGATATGAAGACAAGGTGATACTTTACCTACCAGGAGAGAATTGTTTAGATCTATGATTATACTATGACAACCACTGGGGTTTCTCAGTGTTCATTAAATCCTCCTGAGTCTGAAGTGAAGTATATCCTGCTCTCCATAACTGGTCCCTATTTTTAATCCAAAATATTCCCTCTGGGCCTGGTACAAAGCAAGAATTACTGAATTCTAGCCAGCAGTAGGGACCTATTTTTCCCTATCACTGAGGGAAATGGGTTAAAGTAGGGAGACCAAGATGCAGTGCTTGGGCATTCAGGATAATGTTGGGGTGGACATAGAAAAGAAATTTAGGCTTTTTGGCTCACACTTACATTGAATTGGCCCCACGCAAACCTATCAGGACCATTACTCTGCCTTCTCCTCCTTTTCTTTCCTCTGTGGTAATAACTTTTCCAAAGGTGCCTAAGAAACACACACACACACACACACATACAAACACACATTAGCAATAAGGAGGTGGAAGGAGAAGCAAGTCTGCTTCCTTCAGCATCTCCATCTGTGTTTTACTGACCCCACCCTGAGTTCACAGACAGTCTGATATGCACAGCTACATAATTAGGTTTAAGTGACAGCTGGCCAAGGCCAGTAGTAAATGCTATTTGTAAGCCCAGTGTCCAGGATGTGTGAAAGATTTTCATTCCAGGGTCAAGAGGAGAGAGGATAGAGAAGACATAAGAACAGCTGCATTGATTCTAGCTTCTAAGGGGTGTGTGCAGACCCAGCACAAGAGACACTCCTGCTACTCTTTGTCATAGTCCATCCAGTGAGCAAGAAAGAAAGCACTGATGCTGCCAGCACCTCCTGGTTCAACAAATCTATTTCCTTCCTGTGGTGACAATTGCTGTCATCACTTAGCGCCCAAATTCCAGCCCCACCTGAGACTCCCTTGGCCACAAAAAATATTGACTTTTCCTCCTCTTCCATTCTACAGATAAAGCAGACTTCAATACACATACAGAAATACACTGCTCTCATGCTTTCAGCCTTCTCAGTCTCTGTCCCTATCACTTTCTTCTCACCTGACTAGTCAAATTGGAAGGTTGTTGCTCAGTGTTGTGCTTAGGAATAATTCTTTTTTTCTTCTTGCACCCTTCCCTGCCCAGGGTGTGAGAACGAGAAAGGTTGCATCCTCACATCCCCAAACAACTATGCAACCATGAAGGTGCAAGACAATTCCATCGTCATCAGCTGTGATGGGTATTATCTCATCTACCTGAAGGGCTACTTCTCCCAGGAGGTTAGCCCAAGCCTTACATACCGCATGGGACGGGAACTCCTCCTCCCCCGGACCAAGGACAAGTCTATCAACATTGCCACAGTGGTCTATCTGGCTTTCAAGGACAAAGTCAACTTGAATGTAACTACTCATAATACTTCCAAAGACAACATCTCAGTGAATGAAGGGGAACTGATTCTCATCCATCAAAATCCTGGTGGATACTGTGGCCCCTGAGTATCTGATGGCAGTACTTAAGCCAGGCACCAGCATAAAGCCAAGCTGAGGCTGGACAGAAGACTGATCTGTCTTGTGAGTGGAGGAGACGCCCCAGCTCAGTACTCCCATGGCCACAAGAGATGTGACCAGAAGCAGATGATCCCCTTTCTCAGGGATATTTAAAACCTCTTTTGCATACCAGTTAACTTCATTTATCCTCATATCTTCTAAATCAGCTAGCTTTTCTCCCCATGACTGCCAGGACCTCATTAGGTACCTTTATGGGAATGAGAAAATAGGTGCCTCTTTCTTAAGGCATATTTTTTCCATTGGTCAGGAAATCATCATAATAAACTTACTTCATTGGAAAAGACACTTGATGGCCATTTGCTGGAAATTCAACATCTAACCTTGTCAAAAATGAAGAGGAGCAAAAGAGGGCTTATGAACCTGCCAAAGGTAGCATGGATCAACCCCTGTGAGCCAAAGCTGCCCCTCAAGGTTAATTTGTATCAGTCTGCATTTTGTCTAAATACCTCTCCATATGATAGAGTTCAGAAGAAAATATCAACTTGTGAACAGCTGTCAGGACTTGATGAAGCTAGGTATTTAAGAATACTGTTTTTTTTTTTAATTTATTTCCTTTACTACTCTGTTGTACTGATTTCCAAATATTTTCAATAGAAATTTTCCCTCAAAGAACCATCAGGGGATATTGTGATACTGTGTAAAGCCTAATTAGGAACATAGGGAAAATCAAGAGAGATTTTTCTAATCAGGGAAATAATTTATTGCAATGTTCTCTTTATTGCACAGGATAGCAGTGATACTGTACCTCTCAGGGTAAAAGGCAATAGGAATTTAAGCAAGTAGTCTGAAAAGGAAGATTCATTCCTTACTAGAGATAGGCAAAGCAACACATCCTTGTCATCCTGCTTATGGTGTGATAAGGCATTCAGCCTCACGTCTACCACCTTGATGTTATTTTTGTTAGGGCTGGTCAGTCAATTCTGCCTCCTGGCAACTCATATGTGTAGAGTAGAACTACTTCATAGGGTTTTTAAGTTCATTTTCAAAAAATGATATGATTCTATTATCAAATGCAACTTTATGTCAAAAAGCACTAAGAAGCTGCTGTACCTTAGGAAAAATAATTCTCTCCATTGAGATATTACAATACCACATGTCTCTCATATTGATTACTGAGAATGTTGTTATTGTTTTTATGTGCCATCAAGTTGGACCCGACTCATAGCGACCCCTTCTTGGGTTTCCGAGGCGGTATCACTACGGAAATAGATTGCCCCATCTTCCTTCCGAGGAGTAGCTGGTGGGTTTGAACTGCCAGACTTCTGGTTAGCAGTCAAGTGCTTTAGGCCCTATGCTACCAGAGCTCCCAATTACTGAGAATACAGGACCCATAATTAGCCAAGAGTATACCTGGTTGGTGCAAATGGTTACCATGCTTGGCTGCTAATCAAAAAGCTGGAGATTCAAGTCCACTGAGAGGTGTATCAAAAGAAAGGTCTGGTGATCTACTTCCAAAAATATTAGCATTGAAACCAGCACAACTCTACTACACACGTGGGGTTACCATGAGTGAGAATCGACTCATTGGCAAATAGTGGTAATCAGCGAACAGTAAGAGCTCAGGAATCCCCTTACTCTTAGCTTAAATGTCCCCTTTAATTTGTGTATCATATTTGTGGAGCTCCGGTCAAACAAAAGGTTAAGCATGTTACTACTGGCTAAAGAGTTGGCAGTTCACACTCACCCAGAAGTACCTGGGAAGACAGGCATGATGACCTGTTTCCAAAAGGTCACATGCTTGAAAACCCTATAGAGCTGTTCTACTTTGCTCACAAGGTGTTGCCATGAGTTGTAATCTATTTTATGACAACTAACAACAACAACTGATCATATTTGTGGAATTATAGATGAATGTGTTTTTTCATAACTCAAATTTCCAAATGATTCATAAGTTCTGTATTTGCCAAACTTTTAAAAACTCAAATTTACTGATTAAAAAAAGCAAACACACACACTTTTAATTGTAGCAGATGCTTGCTTCCCTACCAGTTTTAAAAGAGTACATGACACATAGTTGAATCTTTCTGGGTGATTCTGTGGCATCATCATTAGATTGTGATTCAGTGATGTCTCCAGGATCTGTGGAAATGTGGGAGGCTGCTTACTCCTACAGTAAATGATCTCAATTCCATTTGGAGTTTTTTGTCTGTTTGAGACAGTTTTTCTATCCCCTCTTGAGTGTCCATCTCCAACTATATCCCTATCCTTCTATTTTTAATCTGTTGTGAAGAGAAGCTAAATAAAAATGCTCCATTAAAAGAAAGTGATTTAAAAATATATATGTATAGTGTGTAATGTACAAACAATCAAGCTTTGGGTGGCTACCAAGACACTCAAATATTACCTAAGGCATTTGACTGCTAACCAGAAGGTGGTGGTTCAATCCCAGCAGCCACTCCTCAGAAGGAAGATTGGGCAATCTACTTCCATAGAGATACCACTGCGGAAAGCCAAGGAGGAGTCACTGTGAGTTGGATCCAACTCAACGGCAGTGAGTTTACATTTATGGAGAGCCCATGCCTTGGTACTGAGCTAGAAGCTTTCCATCGATTATTCTGTGCAAGGACTTTGTGAAATCTGTCTTGGGTACTCAGAGAATTTGTCTGTGTGTGAGAGAGAAAGAGAGAAAGGGAAAAATGTGTTAGTAATTGTTTACTTCTTTGTTATTAACTATTGACTATATTCTACACAGTTGAAGTTACTCAATGAGTGATATTTGACTAAGTCACGGTTTATGAGTGTAGGTAATATTTAAGAAAATGTATGTTTACATTTTTAAGTTTGGAATTTCTATCTTTGTCATGGGTGAGCCCATGCCAAGTCTAAGCAAAACTGTTCTGTGGGTTAAATTTTTCTTTGGCACCATAGCCTTGCCTCACAGAGGCCCACACCTGGACTATTGGTAATCAGACAATAGTAAGGCCTCAGGAATCCCCTTACACTTAGCTTAAATGTCCCTGGGTGCACCTGGCCTCTCTTGCCGTGCAGGGATGTTTCTGCCATTCACCAGCCTCACTCCCCCTCCTTCCATCCCATCAAAGATGTGTTTTCTGTGTCAGATCCCCTTTAAGTTGTGCCCTTCAAAGGGATAATTAACTCTTCCTTGAACATGGCATAGTTGTGTAGAAAGAGAACTGAGTAAGTTGGCAGGAAATTTGAGTTCTAATTTTGACTCAGTCATGGACTAGCCAAGTGATGTAGGACCATAATTCCATTTTAGATTCCAGTTTCCTCTCTTGTTAAATGAGAGTGGTGGAGCAGGAAATCTTTAAGGCTCTTATATTTTGGAATCTTAAGTTCATAGGTTAGCTGTGAATGTACATATTAAATACCTATGTACTGGCTGTCATGAATCAAGAGGTATCAGTTTCTCTTTTTGCTGTATGGGATTTTTTTTTTCTCTGACAAGCTAACGTCTTCCCTCTGCTGCCTTGGTGATTCCTTCGAGTGCAGTTGCCAGTTGCTACTCAGTGACTTTTTATTTAGAGAACAACTGATGGGAATCCAACCTTCGTCCAACTCCTGATTTGTTTTTAAGCATATTGGGTGGGTCCCCTAAATTCTAAGCCATTATTTTTGTACTTAGTGCTTTCCTGGCTCTCAGAGAGTATTAATATTGATATTAATAATATAGCTAATAATAATATTGATATTTACTTGAAAATAAATAAAAGATCTCAGAATTCACTGCTGGTTAGTGCTGGAGTTTTTATTTATCCTTCTCTTCTCCATGCTCTGAATAACATGACTGATGAGGGGAGACCTGGGCAGGATTTCTGGTTTGCCTCCTGCCTCCATTTTTAGCCATTAAGCTTATGTTCTGGGGATGGACAGCAAAGTCCATCTTTGCTTTTGATAAAACATTCACTGGAAGTTCCAAGGGACATGGTCCATGGTACTGATCTAAATAAAATTCTACCATGCTCTGATTTTCCTTCCTTGAAGTTTTCTTGCCTCACTTCTTATTCTGGGATAATGATTTGAGTTTTAAGTCTCTCTTTAGTAATAGTTACATTACAGCCTCAAGAAGAAGCCAAAACTCTTATTGTGCTTGTGGTGGTATAGTGCCTAAGGCATTTGACTGCTAACCAGAAGGTTGGCAGTTCAAACCCACTAGCCACTCTGCAGGAGGAAGACTGGGCAATCTACTTCCCTAAAGATTTACTGCCTTGGAAACCCTAAAGGGGGGGTCACTATGAGTTGAAATCAACTTGATGGCAGTGAGTTTGGTTTGGTTTGGTAGTGGAGTTTGGCTGCAGTGACCCCCAGGTCACCTTTGATCTTTTTGATGACTCTTTCTTGAAATGCTCTTCTTCTCTGACTTCTTTGACCTCACACTTTTCCTGTCCTGTCTCTCCCTCTATGCTGTCTTTCTTGGTCTGCTCCACCACTCCTCTTCCTCAGTCCAATCCTTTAATGCTGATGTTCTCCAGGGCTCCATCCTCAGCCCTCTTCATCAGAGGCCACAACCTTGCAGTCAACAGGGCACAGTATGACTTATGTGTGTGTTTTATTTGTTTGTGAAGTTTAATTCCCAGCATTTAAATGTTTGGAAATTTCAGGCTTCGTTGGAAAAAACAGGAGATTTGGTGATGCTGCACCCAGTTCTGGCATGGCAACAACCATATCAGGTTGAGTAACAGCTGTCGTCTTTAGGAAGACTGTATACTCTCCATTTCCCCAGAGTTCCCATCACTAGTGCACTGTACAAACATGCATACATCATCTCACTTCACTCATTTGCTGCTTGACCCTGAGGCATTTGAATTTGTGATCTTTGTGCTATAATATACTTGTCAGTCTCATTTATTCTTATGCCTTCAGCAACTGCTCAGACACTAATGATTTCTAAAAAACATTCTCTAGCCCAATTCTATGCCAGATTTATAGAAATCATCTAATTTATTTGTAATAAAAGACCATTGAGT